CTCCCATCAATCTACAGCTTTGATTCTGATGCTGTTTTGTTGTAATTAGGAAGCTAACTTTTACAACTGCTTCACTAACCTCTAAGCTTGGACAGGAATTCATAACTTTTATCTCTTCTTAGTTGCTCTTGCTAGCTATTGTATTTTTCACACCGATGTGACTCATAATGATATCTAATTGTGTAAAAGGATTTTTTCCCCCGTTTTCTTTTAAACATTACAAATGTTTTGTTCTAAAATTTCTTCCAACCATGGAGAAATGTATTATAAAATTCAATTTATTCTGTGTCTCAAACTCTCTGTGTTTCAGGATTTGTTGACAGAAGCTAACACGGCGATATGTCTCGCATCTGAATTCTATGTATGGAATTGACAATAGAAAATGCATTTTCCACCTTGCTATGTATTATGCCAAACTGTTGCTACAGAACATGGGAACGTTCTTTAGTATGGGTGTGGATGCAGTGCCTTCCGGCAGACACTCCCTTGTGTTTTTTCATGACTTTTGAGACTTACTTTTACATGCTTAGCAGTTTTTTAATCATTCAAATTTGGCTGGGTGAATAATAACACATGTTTTTGTGGGTTGATAAACTAAGAACACACATTTATACTTTACATGGACTTTAAGCACCAAATTAACACCAAGCACAAATGTTTGCCATGTAACTCCATATTATGATATGGGATATGGGGCATTTCTAAACTCTTTATCTATTTTTCTCCTTTTGGTGATTAAATTTTGTCCATTGTGGTTGTTGGAGCAACAGAACAGAGTAGAGTGCATCATTTACATAAACAAAATAAACTTCATTACTGCCATGTGCTTTTCAGGTTGTCTTAGGCTACATCACACTGCAGACCTTAATGCTTAATTAGGATTTTTTTGTGAAATCCGAATCTTTTGCTTGGTTGTTCACATTTCCAAATAAATGCGACTTGCATGCTATCTCCTGTGTGAACTGCATTCATACAGTTTAACTATCCCGCATACAGCATAGAGGACGCATTTAGAGTGCTCTGTGTTTACGGACCTAAACATGGGTGCTATTGCTGGAGCGCATCTTCATTTCTTTCCCAATCTCAGCCAGTGCATTAACAACACAGTCTTTTCAAGAGGCTTGAAAAGTCTGCTTTCCGTATTATCCACCATAGTTATTGTTTTTTCCCCCCTTCTGCATAGCGAGCAGTAATGACATTCAGGTCGGATGAATGCGACCTGGCCGTTCTGACACAGGTCTCATTTGAAAAAATCAAATTCATGTTGTTCAGACTGTCATGAAAAGATTAGATACAGGTCGCATATGGGGAAAAAACCCCGGATTTGGGTCATTTCACGCTGCTGTGTGAACGCTGCCTGAGTCATGTTACATATTTTCTACTATGACTAAAAAAGTATGCCCCTAGTGAATACTTTAAGAATAGCATGCTATTGAAAAGGTTAAATAATGCCTTTTAGGATTTTCTTTTTTCTATTTAAATTCTTCCTGCTGGCTGGATCCAATGTCCTCTCTTCATATTTCTGCACCTCTGCTCTACACCTTCAATACATCACGGATTTTCAACATATATAATGTATAACACATTATACAGCATAATGCCACTAAATATTTTATAGTTTATAAAGTTAACTTGTTATTGCCTTAGATGAATAGTTTAAACAAGGAGAGCTATACTGTAAATAACTCATACGGGAAAAAAATGCATGATTAGGATTTGATGTGAAATAAAAACCTAATTTATAGAGTAGGATAGGCATGTCAGAGGCACTTAAGTGCTTTTAGTCCTGTCATATTCACCATCTGTTGATAAGTTCAATACAGCTTCTATTGGCTCACTGCAACAAAGAAATATCACCTTGTTACTTTTCTCTGCACCACATATCACACTGATCATAGATATAAGACAATGAGAACAACTGCATTAGACAGTTCCACACTTACTTTATCTGAGTTCATTTCTTGTATAACACCTGACCCACTGAAACACATCAACAGAACGAAGCAAAGTATGATCAAACTTTGACTGGCTTCAGATCTAATCACAATCATTGGTGGTGTTACTCTCCAAAGCTGCTGGAAGCGTACGTAGCTGTTGGTGAGTGAACGGAAAAGAGTGTCTCCTTTTGTTTGCTGATATCCAAGCCACCTCGCAAAGTGTGGCGTATTGAATTTTATATTTCAAAACAAATTACATTACTGTATGTTGCTACAGTGCTCTGTCAGGGCAAGTCACAGTCATTTTTGCTTCCGTTGTCAGAAGCAGTACTGCATGGAGCTCCAGTCTAATGTAATCAAGCTGCTCCAAATCAAGATAAAGCAGATGTACTCACAAACAGCCTGGCTGGAATGAAAGGGAGAATGAATAAGGATCTGAAAGAAAGTGCATAAAGGGCACATTTTCGAAGCCAATGCAAGCGTCCTTTCAGGTTGCCAAGATTTAAAAAAAAAGTACAATTTAAGTTAAAATGAACTGTAGTGCAGTGCATGCAGTTATGTCAATTTTCAGCCCTTTTAAAATATAGATTTTGAAAATTCTGTTTTATATTATATACACAGCATGAGAGGGTGAGAAAACGCAGGGCTTAACCACATCTGCTTATTTCGCTTTCTTTTGCAATTAAATCTTCATCGCACCATTTAACAACTATGAGGAAACTTCCCTTCATTTATTATAGACTTGTCACTCCATCAAAAAATAATCATTAGAATCTAATGAATCACTTTACTGCGTAAATACAGCTGACATCCAAATATGCAGAAGTTTGGCCTCGAGGCACTGCAATGAAGTGTTCAATAGCACTGCTTACAGTTCACTGAATGCTCAACCAGCAGGTAAATGTGGGTGCGTACAGGTTTGGGAGGAAAATATTTGGTGCATCAGACGTTGAGCAGTTTAAACAATAGTGTCTATCTTGGGACAGTCAAAGACACAAGTGACAAGCAGCTTTCATAATATGACTATCTGTGGGAAAATGAGCCTTGCACTCATAGATTGAGGTTTAATTTTAAAAGAGGAGTGTTGTTCTCAGTAGAGCACATATTGCATAGGTAAATCCAATGAATCAAATAAGTAAGAAAACATCTTTTGAATGCATTATCATTAGAATGGGCCTGTTGATTTAAACGTTTCAAAACTGCAGTACAAAAACCAGCAGATAACAGCCAAAAACACTTATTTCATAAAAAAAACATGTAACAATGAATATACTGCAGGAAAAAGACCAAAATCTGTACATTTCGTATGATGATCAAAAACCTCAAAATATTACAAACTGTTAATGAACCTATAATACTTAATTTAATGTTTGTGGTGTTTTAGTAGAAGCATTAAAATAAAATCTTGATTTAAATCACTTGAAATTTGAAATAAAAAATTTGTTGAAACTAAATATTTTAATGGATTATAATTTTATGCGCAACTCATATATTTCACGAGATTCTCAAATTTATTGTAAGATACAATTATCTGTATCACAGAAAAAAGGGATGCACAGGTTAGCTATTTATACTAAGTGAAACAAAGATTTAAAAAGTAACACTAGAACACAAGAAAGGACACACGTCATTGTTTACTTACAGAATAACAATATACTGGAAATCTACTGTACATGAAGAAGACACCTAACTTTACAGCTCTCCAGTGACTGTAACACTACCACTAATCCATACTGGTACAGAGGGGCAGACCAAGAGGAGAGGACATTCTAGACCTCTGTCCCTCCATGCAATAATATCATTGAACTTTTGAAAAAATAAGCTCCAGGGTTTCAAGGACAACTGTCAGGAGACATGGGCTGTGAACTCATGCTAATGAAGGCAGCTCAGGCCTGTAAACAGCATGGGAGGATGTCACTGGAATACATTACAATAAATAACTGTCTCCCCAGGGCAGTTGGGTTGCATGAAGCTCAGCTCTGCTCAACCACCCCAAAACACACATGCATAGACAGACAAACACTGCCGCATCCTCAGTCCACCTGGGTACCCAACAGGTAAAGCTGAACATTGCTGACTGTTGCGAGAGTTAACAACTCAGTGGTACAGTAGCTTAAGGTGCTCTGGGTTGGTAAAATTGAAATCATTCCATTGTACATTTTGTTTCACATTTAGTTATTTCCATTGAACATTTGCATTCGTAACTGATGGAAACTGTTAAGAAGCGAGACTGGAAAGTTTGGCTCCAAGTTGGGCCATTGGTGCTGCAAGGGAAACAAGAGAGAAAAAGGCAGCGCTGAAGTGAGTGAGAGTGCTTAGACAGGAATGCAACTGTTTTCAGGTCAGTGAACAGCCGTGTGCAATTGCACGATGTAGAGAGAGAAGAGGGGGGTGGAAAACCAGTAAACCAGGCCATGGTTTGTGGTGCAGCGATCTCCTGCCTTCTCCCATTCAGTCCAAAAACATTTAGTTATCAGTGCCGCAGGACATTATGTCTGAACCGTATGATTAAAAGGCTCACAACCAGTCATTTTATTGCACGGTTTTATATGTTTTGGAATTGCTACAATACTGTTTTTATAACCTGCTTCTATAAGTTAAACAAGTTAAAAAAATTAGGTTGTTCCAGCACAACAATTATTTACATTGCAAGGCTAATAAATGCATATATTTAAAATTAGATAATTGTCGGAGCTTTAGTGAAGTAATTACTTGTGTAGCTGTCTATCTAGCCACCTAGATAGCTAGCTGTTTCAGGCCTTGTGAGTCTTGTAAGATATTTAAATGTCATGGAATTCGAATATTGCTGTGACTCAGGAGTTTCTTTAATAAATTGTTGTTAGATGCTGATTGCTGTGGGTACCTTCTATAGAGGTATGTCTTATATCAAATCTGGAGAAGCCCCCTGACTAGCAGTGATGGTCTTCAATCTATGAATAATTCTTTGACAAATCATTTCCAGAGTTTCTAGAGGAAATAGAACAATCATTCTGTATCATTTCCTCCTTATTTTCCATCTTCTATGAATAATATAAAGTTGCAAAGGCAAATAAGTCTTCATACCTTGGAGAGATCTCTGAAGTTCCCGGGAAGGGTCAAGTCCAGCTCCTCGGAGTCATAGTTGGTAAGTACCCAGGGAAAGATTGGGTACTGGTTCAGGTCATTATATGTCCTCCCTAGACAAATGTGGCAGACAGAAATGTGTGAGTGATGACAGACTAAAAGAAAACAGCAGGTGGAATAGGGCAACACAGGATGCAGTATTAGAAACAGCCTGATGATAGAGCTGTTTATCTGACAGATTTCCCTCTTCACAACTATAAAGTATTCAGACTCCTTGAACTTTATAATATTTTGTTATGTAGTAATTCATTGCATGCAGTTAACTTTAAAATGTTAAATAACTACATGCCAGGAATGTGCAAGATTACATGGTTTTCAAATTCCTTTGTATAATGAAAATTAGAAAAATTTTGCATGCATTATTTCAACTCCTTTTACGTGGATTTTCTTTTTTTAAATACCTTCGGGACATTTGAGTTCAGAAGTCATTTAATATGTACCGTAAACAAATTCCTCTGTGTCTATTTCAATTTCATTGTAAATACAGCTTTTCTGTGAAGAACTCTTTGTTAAAGAACATGAGTATAAAAAAGCATGATAAAAACTATGGAACACATCTTGTAATCCATGATGAGATAAGGTTTAATGCTGAGTTTTATTTTGAAGTCTATACTAAGTGTTTAAAATCTCTCAGAAAATTGGTGAATCCATTATCCAAACATGGGTAGAAAAACATGGTATTTCGCTGAACCGGATAAAAGGCCTCCACATAAAGGGCTTTTAAAAGCATGTACCATTTCCCCTTTACATCTTAGAGCTATTTGCACTGGCATATAACATATGATTTAAATAAAATGCAATGAAAATGGTGTCTGCAGCGTGACAAAATGGTTTAAGGTTTGAGGAGTATAAGTAATTGTACCCTAAACCAGATAACATGAGAAAGTTTTCTTTGTTTTTCTTGACATGAACTGCTGAGTGTGAGTTGTCAATAAAAGGTGAGCGTCACAGGAGGCTTGTCTGCAAGTTGAATGTTTGTAATTATAGAACTATATATTCATACCACTAAATGTCTTTGATGTCCCTGCAGTTTTGAACTGCTGATTTGCAGGATTTCAGCTTCCCTTTTATCCAGTGTGAGGAAATAAGCTTTTCAGCAGGAAAAGATTTGTCAAGAACTCTTGGGAAAAATTAGAAGTAAATTCAGCATTGTCAATAGGGTTTTACTTTTCAATACACTTTAGACAGAAATCAAATGAAACAGGCATGTGAAATAGAAAATAATGACTGTGACTCAATGGTGAAAAGCAGTCATCTGATAACTAAAAAAGTTTTGAATTTGATTCTAAGCTTCCACCTACTGTAAGACACCAAACCCAGAGTTTCCCATTAATAATGCTTGTGTAAAAATGGGTGACTTCTTGTACCAGCATTTTCATTAGTCTTTGAGACTAGAGCAGCACAACATTAGAGCAGCAATTTAGCAAACTAGGCATTCTGTAATTAAAGAAATTAGGGCAAAGCACCAGAATGTGCTTCTTTTAGCGTTTTAGGATCTTACTCTGTAGACCCATTTTTCTATATTAAAATGGTTTAGCAAAATTTGACAGCTTCTTTTTACTATTATACATACAAGTTATTTGACAAGATCATTAACATCACTGGCTAAATTGTGACTTCAAGTATAAACCTTGTTTAACATATGTTGTCTTTAGGCAGGAATCCTTTATATATTATAAATCCAATATTAAAGAACTTTTGCAACTGATTTCTTTTGTCTCAACCTTATAATTTTCAGGAATCTTAATCAATGAGGAATAACATTCATTCTTCCATCAACATCACAAATAACAAGGCTAAAGCAAATTGTAGATCCAGATGAAAAAGTATGTGTTCATAATAGGTTTAGGGGACCACAATATTTTTATGTTGGTCCAGCTTGGTTAGGGTTTTTCCTCTAATAGCGGGTAAAATGTTTTGTTTTTTGCTTCTTTTTTTAACAATAGGGAAACAAGAAATCTTTAACAGAAAAATACAGCTGAAGATTTAGACTTCTAACAGATTGCATCCCCTACTTGAAAACGGTATTTCCCTAACTCACATGGCCATATTTTACAAAATACACTTTATTCATTTACATACACCTTTGTAAATGACAAAAAAACGATAGTATCAAACACATAAGAAATAATCAAGAGTTAATAGGTGCAATTTCAATTACAGCTGGTTATGAATTTATTTTTTACCTTTAGTAACTTAAGATTAACAACAAAATATATTGCATGAAGGTTAGATACAGATAAAAATAATTAAAACTCGCTTAATCCTTAGAAGTGATTCCAAAATTTTTATGGACTTTAAGCAAATCACAAAAATAAAATAAAAATTTGATTAGTTATATATTTTCACTATCCTATTAATGTAGAGCACTTAAATAAATACCAAACAAGTATATACAACAAAACATGACTAAATTATAAATTTCATCATTGGATGTTAGAGCAGATAGAGAAGCCGAACAAATCCTTTCATTGTTTACAATGTGAAGAATGATAAATAGATGAATGATTCTTTATTAAGAATAGGTATTTGCTCTTTTATGAAGTGCACAACACCTTTATAAGAGTTCAACGATTAACTGTAAAATATTAGTTAGCTGTGTTTTTGCAGCAAGTTGGCAAGAGGACCTAAATATGCCAGTTTTTTAAACGGCTGGTCAGTGAGTAGGTTACCTCAGAGTAGCAGATAAGGTCTGCAGGAAGCTATAGAACATAATTATCAAGGTTAATGGTACACACTGAAGAGGAAACAGCAGGCTGAGCACAGAAGATGGAGTCAGGCATTGGTGTGGTGAGACCAAGTGGTGCTGAGTCCTGAGTTAGGGTGGCAGGATGTTAATAACAGTGGAATAGTGTTTAATTAGAAGAAGTCTTTCTGTTCGCGCCTCTTCCCAGCACTTCACCCCCCGCCTGTCTTCCGCTCCACACTCTTCTGACATATCTGGCAGCTCAGGTCATTACGAGGGATTTTTAATGAATTTTGGGCATGTTTTTGTGCCTGCCTTACATCTAATTAGCTGACAATAATGTATCGACTCTCAAGCACCAGCTAAATATAAATATGCATGAATATGCAGCGACAGAGAGGATGACACCTCTCCGAGCAAAGTAGGGTGCAGTTGTTCTTGCCTTTCCTGTTAGTTGCAGTTCAGATCAGAGAGTCGACAACAGAACCTTTCAACTCTGCAGACACTCATGTACACTTTCACAAAACCAGGCACTAATTATCCAGGAAAATCCACTGCGCCTGCTTCTTGCTTCAAAAGGCAGATACTTATGAACAGTGAAGTTTGCTGTGTTTGGTATCGCCTAAAGCCACCATAGATTCTTAAACAAATCCGACAAACATGAGCACACTTAGTGTATGTTTCTAGTATCACTGACACATAAAATGTATTGATCCTGCTAGATAACTTTAAAGACTTGCTGTGGAAAGATTCACTCATATAACAGATTAAAACTTAAAACCATCTCAGGTCATTAGGTTTATATGGACAAGGAAGAAAACAAATCAGAAGCAATAAATCTTACTGATGGCTGCAAAAAGCCAAACACAACCCCGCATTCATTATTTCTATACTTTAAGCTACAGTACTTTACAGTTTCAACTAAAAGACATCACTTGGAAATTGTGTAACTGCTTTGGTTAGCACTTTACCAGCTATGGTGTTGAGAAACATCAGATACTCAAAGTTGGAGATCTCTCTTCTCTGCCAGCGCTGGGTCATGTTGGAAGATTTGAAAAGCTGCCGAGGGGTTGCCAGGGAGATACGCCTGAAAACATTCAAATGAGAAATGACATAAATTTCCTCACAGTTTTTTCTATAATATGGACATTTAAAAAAAAAACTCAAAAAAGATACAAGCTTAGGCAATGCTTTAATCAGGAGTACCTAATTTCAGTCCTTTAGGCTAAATCCAAATCAGATCAGTTTATTTAGATAACAGAAATATAAAACTTGTAATATCAAGGCACTTTGTCTAATCATATAGACAGATTGGTTTTCTGTCTAAGGAAACTCAGCTGATTGCATTTAATGTACATAATTCACTCTTCTTAAATGAGCATATCAAAGGCACTGTAGATAGTGGCTTGTATTGTGACAACTTTGCAGCAAACCGTCGTGCCAAGCATGCATTTAGCAGCCATAGAGAGGAAAATTATCCTTAAACACATAAAAAAAAGAACCAGGTTCAGTGTGAAAGGCCTACTGCCACAACCTGCTAGGCGGTTGATCAGACACACAAAAAAGCAAAGATACAGGGATACTTTCTATGAAAGTTTCTGTAGCTCCTGCAGTGGCTTCATCTTAGACAAAAATACAGCTAAGAAGATCAACTCTTGAGTCTAGGAGATGAACGAGTAAGCATACATTTAGTCAAAGTAAAATCTCAGCCCATAGCTATGTCTCGGCCAGAGACCAAGTTAACCACTAAAAGACAGGGCCAAGTGGTTCATCTATAGGAGAACAGAAACTTGCAACTTTCCAGGACAGTGTCAGACCTGAACAGAACAACAGAGTAGATGTAGCTACCATGAAGAGAGGAAACAACAGAGGTCACTGAGTTTAAGGTGAAGTCATGTAAACCAGAGAGAGAGAGAGAGAGAGAGAGAGACTGTGGCTATTACGCAGCAAGCTCTCAATATATCCCTTCCCTTCTCTGACAACTGAACAAAACAAATGGTTAGTTACCTGGCCCATGTAGAGTTAAATGACATGCAAATGAGGAAATTCAGTCATTTGATTAAGCTGCGTTGGAGGAAAGATAGTAGTTGACGAGGACTGGAATTTAACACCCCAAATTAAAATAAAAGAATCACCCACATTCTAGTAGGACATTTTTGTTTCACATATTAGAAACAATTAGAAACAATAAACTCATTATTACCAAGTGCAAACAAACAAACAAACACAAAAAAAAATTAAAACAAGAAATACAAATAAGCAATGTGTTGATCAGGATTCTGCAAAGATTGCAGTTGCATTTGATCCTCTGATTGCAGGACTGTATTTTAGAGCGGAAAATTAAATGGCCTGTTAGCAACAATGAAGCCTTAGGGGGGGTCTCTGTTTCTTTATGTTTTGTTCCAGTCATTGGCCTGGCTATATAGAGATTTCAGTTGGAGAATTAGGTCAGTCCTGTCAGGGTCAGTGAACATCCACTTCAGGGTATGGAACAATGGGACTACTTATAGACTTGTTTCATGCTGAAGGAATGCACAAGCAACCAATATTGACGATAACTGTTGAATTATAATATCAACCTTTTGTATCATTTCATTTGCCATCTCTTATCCTACCTGGCTTGTGGAAGTCCATAGCTGGTTCCTACGCCTACACGAGGAAGACAATAGACCACTTTTTTTACTGTGGCCTGGTCGGGAAAGTTGAACATAACGGAGGCTGCAAACAGAAAAATTACCATCACACAAATGGAGAAAAAAAGAATAAAAACAAACTTTAAATGTTTTATGTACTACTCTGCTTACTTCTGTTAGCCATGAAGACCTCCATGGCAGTGTTCTGTAGAAGGAAACGTCTGGAAAAAACAGCCCGGATCTCACTGAACATCCACTTCCCATGCAAGCCATCAGTATACATCAACACCTGGGGGGGTGAGACAGATGAAAGTAAAAGTAATTTTAGCTGCATTACGTAAAATATATTTGATGAAACCTTCCTTACAAAAATGTAAAAAACTATATATATTCTGCTGACAGCTTGCCAGCATTACAAAATGAGTGCATTTAATAGTGTATAAACACAACAGATCAGAAAACGGGATCAGAAAAGGAATCAGGGAAGAATTTGAAAAAAAAAAAAAATTTGCGCAGTTATTTATATTTTAAAATCAAATTAGAATAGCTAAAATATACAAGCATACAATATAAAAGCTTAAACACTGCTCCTGTCCTTGCTGATCTATTTAGCTGAACAAAGGTTAACTCTTTCCTATTCAGATAATTGAAATATCTAAAGCACAATCTTTATCATAACTAAGTAAATAAATAAATGTTATCATAATACACAGCAAATCCTGTATTATCGCTGATCAGCTCAATCCCTCGCTGGCCACAGTTTAACCCTCTTCTAAGGGCTTCTTGCTCAAGACAAGCACAATGTTTCATAGCTCAGATCATCTCAAATTGGTTTCTTGAACATGACTATGCGTTTAAAATCAAAACAATGGCCCCTACAGTCTATAGATTCCAATATAATGTAACAAACTGGCAGTGTTTTGGGATTAGGCCTTAACAATATGGCAAAAACTAATATAAAAACATAATTCTGAATTAAGGTCAATATGATCTGATTTCAAAATCAATAAGATAAAAACCTCAGAAAGTTCGCTGAGAATGCCCACCACAGAATCCTGTACAAACATATGACAATTTACCAAATGTATAAAGCTTGTCTAATATACCATTTTAGGATTTTTTTGTTGTTAATGAAACAAATACAACTGCATGAAAACAATCTTTCAGTGACTTATGCTGTAATCAAAGGCTATTATCATCTTTTGAATGACTGTAAATGTGTTTAAAAAGTCAAATCACCCATACTGGATAAAACTATATTGCATTACATATTGATATCAAATAATGGTCCATCTCTAGGTGGGATAGGCAATTTACATAACTAATGTGCAGCCCCCAAATCCACCTGAATTAAGAGTGTAATATTAAAGGCAAAAGTGGGCCTAGCATAAGTAGAAATAAAAACCTTCTTGGCTGCTTACAATAATACATACTGTTAGTAAATATAAAGGCTGTTCATAAATTATATGCTTTTAAACATCTGCGTAGTGCAGGCTTTGGTGATCAATATAGCTGTAGTTTGTAGTATTCTTATTTGAACTTAAGAAATACTCAGGCGGACAGTATAACATAGCTCGAGGCCTGTTTCAACAAAAAACATGCCACTGCCAACAGATTCTTTCACACCTATCTCTTGGTTTGCACCACTCAATGCAGCAAAAAGAAACAGTCACCAAAACAGCCCTGCAGGTTAATAACACACATGATCAATAAAGTTAGAATGTAAAAAAAAAAAAAGAGCCAGAAACAAAGAATCCTGTCCGTTTGCAGCAACGGAGGACTAAAACAGTCCACACATAGAAAAATCAAGACAGATGTTCTGACAGGTGAGAATGACTCCCTCACACACCTTTCCACTTTCCTTCCATCTCACTGAGCAATTCTGTTCAACAGTCTGAGCTGTGAAGAAGCTTCATCAGCTCCCCAGGTAATAATCGCATATTGGTGCACTTCAGAGAAAATAAATCTATGGAGAATTATACAGGAAAACAGGCATTTGAAAACCCTGCTATTTTGCAATTTTCCCCACTAAGAAATCATAGAGGGGTTGGAAATAGTCATCGTAGGTGCATGTCCACTCTGACAGATATAATGTAAAAAAAAAATAAAATCCAGAAATCGCAATATGGGATTTTTTACGATTTATTTAGCTGCATAAAGACACCTGTCGACTCCATACAATCAGTAAGAATCCAACTACGGTACTAGCATGACCAAGACCAAAGAGCTGTCCAAAGACACTAAAGGCAAAATTGTACACCTCCACAAGGGGGGGAGGGCTATGGGTAAATTCCCAAGTAGCTTGGTGAAAAAAGCTCCACTGTTGGAGCAATCATTAGAAAATAGAAGAAGCTAAACAAGACTGTAAATCTCCATTGGGCTGGGGAGCCATGCAAGATCTCACCTCGTTGGGTCTAAATTACCCTAAGAAAGATGAAAGATCAGCCCAGAACTACACGGGAGGAGCTGGTCAATGACCTGAAAAGAGCTGGGACCACCGTTTCCAAGGTTACTGTTGGTAATACAGTAACCTTGCCAGCACATGCCAAGGCCCGTCTTAAGTTTACCAATGACCATTTGGATGATCCAAAACTTTTTGGTCATAATTCCACTAACTACTACCTACTGTGAAGCATGGGGGTGGTAGTATCATGCTTTGGGGGTGTTTTTCTGCACATGGGACAGGGCGACTGTACTGAGGATGACTGGGCTTATGTATTGCAAGATATTCAGTGAGAGCATCGAAGATGGGTCGAGGCTGGGTCTTCCAATGTGACAATGATCTGAAGCTCACAGCCAGGATAACCAAGGAAAGGCTCTGGAAGAAGCATATCGAGGTTCTGGCGTGGCCTAGCCAGTCTCCAGACCTAAACCCAATAGAGAATCTTTGGAGGAAGCTCAAACTCTGTTTTTCTCAGCAACTGCCCAGAAACCTGACTGATCTAGAGACGATCTGTGTGGAGGAGTGGGCCAAAATTCCTCCTGCAGTGAGTGCAAACCTAGTGAAATATTATAAGAAATGTTTGACATCTGGAATTGCAAGCAGGCTACTGCACCACATATTTACATTGATTTTCTGGGGTTCCGATACTTATTTGCAGCTGTATCATACAAATAAACTGTTAAAAAATTATACATTGTGATATCTGGATTATTTTTTTTTTTTTTTAGATTATGTCCCTCACAGTGGACATGCACCTACGGTGATCATTTCAGACCCCTCCATGATTTCTAAGTGGGAGACCTTGTAAAACAGCAGTGTGTTCAAATACTTATTTTCCTCACTGTAGATATAACAAGAATATCAAAACCTGCGGTACATTAGTGACGTTATGGTTGTCCATATGTGCATGTACCCACATACAGTATTAGTTACCTTGTGGCGACAGTTTAAGGCAATTTTCCTAGGGATATGCTACATTGTGGGGACTTACAGGTACTTGATGAAAGGTTCTCTTGTAGGGTTGTCGGTTCAATCTAAGACTAAGGTGTGAATTGAGTTTAGGTTAGGGTTAGATATGTAATGGTATTGGGTAGCGTTAGGTTAAGTGTCTGGGTTTGGCCATAGAAATGACTGGAAGTCAATGCAAAGTCGCTGTTAGGATGGTAGGACATAATGTGTGTTTGTGTGTATATGTGTGACTGTAAGGTGGAGTGGGCAGGGAATGGGAATAAGCACCCAATATGGTGTGCTGGGTTAGGTCTGATGCTAATGCTCATTTAAAATAGTGACAGGCTGGAAGAGTGCAGCACAAGCTGGGCTGCCTTAATTTCTCCGTGGAATAGCTCATGCCCGACCTCCGAGCCACAGCCAAAATCTCTTGAGCTCAATTAAAATTGGATTAGGTGGAGATGCTGAATGTACAGCACAGCATCTCTGGTGCTCTTCTACTAGTAATGCCCCTGCTTGACACCTCTGCAGCCCCCTACTCAAACAGTTGTCATAGAGACAGCAGAGCCCTGAGGAGCCGGCAGGCAGAGTGGAGGAGAAACAGAGAGAGGGAGGTGATGGAGAGATGGCTATAGAGCTGCAGGCATTTTGTTGAGGGCCAGCAGCCACTCTCGAAGGGAAAGCAGGATTTTTTTCCCCCCTCTGTTTTATCTGCAGCCAGATGTTCCACACTTCTGAAAACAATGCTTTAAAGCCAGGCACACAGATGTGCAATCATTCGAAGGCCACAGTTTATTCACTCAAAACATAACAAGCTGTTTAGAGACTGAATTGTTTGTAGATGTAAAAAGTCTATTCTTCATTTTCTCTATTTTAATCTCTGATATATTTACTGGTGGTCAAAAAAAAAGAGGCTGGTATGGTCATAATTGATTTTCAGGTCTCAACAACCAATACATGATTAATATATGGGAAAACAATCCATAGTGTTTCTGCACTTTTTTTTTATTGGTATACATTTGATGTGAACAGTTTGCTGCTGTGACAAAGTAAAGGCCAAAAGAGTAGCTGTCAAAAAAAGAGAGGCTAAAGAGGAGAAAAAAAACTTATTTCAAACTGCCCAGATCAAAAAAGAATGTCATAACAACAAAGCTTTGCTCTAAACTAACACGTGCAGGCCCCTGTAGACTTGGGGATTTGACAAAGCCCAGCCCTCATTTTTAGAGGCCCAGCTGTAAAAAATGCCATTTAATGAACCTGTCTGCTGAAGCTGTTCCCTGCCTGTCAGAGGTGTCAGGCAGTGACAAGCGCTGGGGACGGCCGCCTCCAGTCACAGACAGGCCTGCCAGCTGGAGACTTCGGCCCCAATCTAATCACACCACCAGGAAGGGACTGGCGCTCTGCTCTTGGTCTGTCACGCTCAGTGCTGGGGGAGCAGGAAGAGGGTGGGTGAAGGGAATCTGGTGGTCGACAAGCGCAGCCTTTTGTTTCCACACGGGTCCCCCAATGCAGGCTCATTAGAGGACACCAGCGCATGCGCTGCGCCGCCAGCTGCAGGAGGATTCACCTCTCTTTATTATAAGAGCCGAAACACAATTTAACACCTCCATCCTCTCTTTCAGTCATTTAGCTTCTTCTTACATCACTGATTTAATGTACTGGTTCGATTTCTGAGCTTTAGAGATGAGAAATGAATGCTGTAACAGACGAGAAGAGGGCAAGCAAAGGTGACAGCAGTGTTTAGGTTTGAACTCATAAAATAATGTGCAGATGCTCAGATTGAGGACAATATGTTTATAAGCCACAGGGTGCCACATCATGCATGGAAATAGATTCTAATCATATTTGATTTCCGAAAAGCTTTTACCACCATATTGACTGAGACACAATGACAGATG